GCTAAGGTTCATGGTGCTGAAATTCCAAATTCACTGGAAATAATGAATTTCTGAGAGTTTTGGGCCACTGATTTTCTGCCTAGAATGTGAAGTCAATGGGAAAGTGATACCAGCTACTCAAGAGGCTGAGATCTGAGGATCATGGTTCAAAGTCAGCCCAGGCAGGAAAATCTATGAGACTCTGATCCCCAATTAACCAGCAAAAAGACAGAACTGGAGGTGTGGCTCAAGTGGTAGAGTACTAGTCTTGAGTGGAAAAAGCTAAAGGACATTGTCCATGCCCTGAGTTCAAGCAAACATGCGTGTACACACACACACACCAGAGTGGAGCTCTGGTTTAAGTGGTAGAGCACCAGCCTTGAGCACTAAAGGAGAGCATGAAGCCTTGAGTTCAAGCTCCAATCCTGGAATATTCACAGAAAGATTCTGTAATGAAGTGGTATGTGTCCTAGGAGAAGAACAAAGCCACAATTAAGATGGTCAAGCCTTCTATTTCCCATAATTGGGATAATTGATCCCTCCGTTTTCCTGACACTAAGGACTTTCAGTGCTCAAAGAAAGAAAAATCGAAGATACACCGGGATGAAGTGGAGTGAGGGTGTGAAGACTTTGAAGCTGCCCTTCCAGCCACCCTGTGGTTCACATGGCAACAGAGTCTATTTTTAGTTGCTATCCCAGGATACCTGAGGACAGGGTAATTGGAAAAGAAAAGGTATTTTATTTTGGAAAAGACCATTTTGGAGTCTGGGAGGTCCAGGGTGGAGGGGCTCCATCCAGTGAGGTACTTCTTACCTGTGGAAATTCTACACAGTTCTGAGGTAACACCGTGCATCACACAGTGAGAAAGCACATGAAAGAAAGCCAAGAGAGCCAATGAGCTTTTTATTTGGGGGTGGGGGTAGAGAGGGATGCTAGGTTTTGATCCCTCCCTCCTTTATTTTGTGGGGAACTTGAGCCTCACCACACCTACTAAGCAAGTGCTCTACCACCTAAGTCACATCCTCATTCTCTGTATGGAATTTCTTGCTTTGCCAGCTTTTGGTGTGTGTGTGTGTTTGTTTTTTGTTATGGGTCTTGAACTCTGGCCCTGAGTACTGCAGCTCTTCAGGTCAAAGCAGGTGCTCTACCACTTGAGCCACAGCACCACTTCCAGTTTTCTAATGGTTTACTGGAGATAAGAGTTTCATGGCTTTTCCTGCCTGACCTGGCTCTGAACCACAATCCTCAGATCTCAGCCTCCTGAGTAGCTAGGATTACAGGTGTGAGCCACTGGTGCCTGGCCATAGCTTTTGGTGTTTGAATAGCTTAGCACTGATGCACTGATGCAATTGTTGAAAGAGTCTACCCTCCACAGCCCCAAGCATACCAGGTCATTTGGGGGTTATGACACTGTCTCTGGATCCCTACTATGAAGGCTTTCCAGGCTCTCTGTCATATATACTTGAGAATGATCTTGGGACTGGACGTAGAGATGGAATGAATTTGGAAGACAGGTAAAAGAAGTGGGCATGGGAGGAAGGCAACCTGAACATGGACAACAGAGTCAGTATTGGAAAGGCATGAGGTGGTGGAAAGAAAGCCATTCTAGTAGTCAGGAACCTTTTCCATCCAGCTGGAATCTTTAAGAGAGGTGTTTTCT